TATATATATATATATATATATATATATATAGTAATAGTATACAGAAGTAATAATATGATATACATACATTAAATAGTCAATTACTTTTGATTGTAATCATGAAATGAACAAGGAAAGGCTTTATATTGCAGTGTAACAGCACCCCCTAATGGTGCTTTGACCAAATTCTTATACTATTTTTACCCTTTCAAAAGGTTGACTTGATGCTAACTGAGGTTCTGACAGATTCTTTTGTTTGTGGTCCACATCCATAGCCTGAAAAGATCAAACAGACAAATGTAACTCAGAAGCATGTGAGAACAGTCATAAAGGAAATGCTAAAAATGCAGATAAAAGTTGTTCATCATTTTTTCTAAGTAATTGTAAGCTTATTTGTTTGTGGATTATTGTGTTATGCAGTGGCAAACTATGGCAACTGAACTGTCTGCATATCTATTTACTAAAAAAATAATGAATGAAGGCCAGGATTTGGCAAAGGAGTGCAGTGGCTGCAGCCTGGGGCAGCAAAGTTTAGATGATGTCAGTCTGCTGCTTTTCAATGGGGCTGATTTACTAAAGGAGTATACAATTAGCATAGTAAATAGGGTGAAGTTATGTGCTCTTCAATCTTCCATTCACTTACAAGGCAAAATTATGTTTTCTTTAACAGACACTGTTTGTTACATTGTTTGCATGACAAAGTGACAGTGTCTTATTAAAGGACATCCTCTGCCCCATTATGCTTCCATTAAGTGGACTCCATTGCAGCTCCTTGCTTCTCCCTCAGTAGTTTTGGTGATCTTGGGTAGGCATGATGTCATTTCCTTGGTCATTCTAGCAATTTGCTCCTAGGCGTGGGCACTTTCACAGCGTAGCAGGTCACACGCTCCCCCATACCTGGAAAGGTTGGGTATTCTCACCCAGGAGCTATGATGATAAAGTGGTTTAGGCAGAGACCAGGGGCGGACTGATCATTCGAGCACTTAGGCACTGCCCGAGGGCCCGGGGTCAGTAGGGGGCCCCATGAGATGCCCCTGGTACCTTTTATAGGCTTTTTTTGAGCGTGGGCAAGGACACAGGGGCCCCATGATCCCCTATTGCCCGGGGGCCCCATGAGTTGTCAGTCCGCTCCTGGCAGAGACATTATTATTTTGCACTGTTTGAGCAAGGTTACAATACACATGGTTGGGTATACAGAAAGTGCACAGCTTCACTTTATTCACTAGGCTAACTTTGTGACCCAGCGGGGAAATAGCTAAACTAGATTGCTGGATATGCAGTTTGATGCTTTTATTCAGTGCGGCCACAATAGTGTATGTGTTTTTACTGTATGCAGTTTTGCCTGCAGTTTTGTCCCAGTTTTCAAAGTAAACTGCACCGCTCAAAGCCTTAGGTAATATTGCAAACGAGAGAACATAATAAGGATATCCTCATTTTGAACTATCTTTTTATTTTAAGGCTTTGTTATATGCAAGCATTATAAAAAAAAAAGTAACACAGCAAAACCTCAAATACATGAGACAGAAGAACTAAAAGAGACAGACTTTACAATTCTACATAAATAGAATATAGCATGTAAATCAAGATTATGAACCATCTTCATTAAAATCAGATGTTTAGATAGTGGAATGGCAGTAGGAAGGGATGAATAAATCTCTCAAAAGCCATCTTTTTTTAATGCCATGCATTTTGTAAATTAATGTAAATAAAAAAGGCAACTACTCCCCCTTCCCCCCTTTGATGCTGCACCATAGCACAAAACTGCTATCCCCATGGCTGAAAGCTTACAGACATGTGAACCCCCCATACCATGCTCATACCATACTGCATGTCCTCCAGCATGGGGTGGGTTTTCTAAAAGAGAAGGCCTAACAAAACAGAAGTGAAATGTTGCTTTTCTGCTTTTTTCTACTTACTTGTATTTAGCAGCCATGTTTCAAAGATGATAAGAAAGCAACTCTAAACTTGAGTCTAACCCAACTCATGAAGTGCTAATGGTGGTCAGTATGTACTGCAACTGTGCTAATATCAGAAATTCTGCATATTTAATCTTCATCTTATTCCTGTGTATTCCCCTGCAGGCAGATATTAGACTTTTATGATTTTTATATTGTGGGTAGGCTAACTTTTTGAATCATCACTCTTTTTGGAGCAGGAGTCTTTGTGCTTGATGCATTACCTGACTAAAGCCAGTTTGAAACTGATTGGTGCCTGAGAGAAAATCTTTAGTATTGAAACTCTCATACTAAAGGCTTTCTGTATGTAAGAGTGAACTAGAAGTTTGCAGTGGAGGTTTGGGAATGCACAGCATCATGGCCAGATCTAGGGGGGTGCTGGTGTGGGCTGCTCTCCCCAGATTTCAGTTGTTCCCATTAGTGACCCCCCAGTGACCATAATAGTGATCCTCCATAGAGCAGATGTCATAGAATCACTAGATCGGACTGTGCACAGTTTGTCCTCTGCATTGATGACCCCTGTCCTCCATCCCGATGACTCCTGTCTTACATCCTACTGACCCATGTCCTCTGCACTGCTTACCCCTTTTTTTCTTTGCCCTTCTGAACCTTCTTCTTTGCTAATTTGACCTCTGTCCTGCTAAAAAATGTCATCCATCCTGCTGACCCCTGTACACTGCCCTGCAGATCCTTACCCTCTGCCCTGCTGATCCTTGTTATCTTTCCTTCTGACCCCTGTCTTCTGCCCTGATAACTCTTGCTCTCCACTCAGCTGAGTCCTGTCATCTGCTCTGATTTCCCCTGTCCCTTATCATGCTGAATCCTACTCTCTGCCCTTCTGCCCCCCTGTACACTGCCCTACTGATTCTAGTACTCTCCCCTGCTGATCCCTCATACTCTGCTCTGCTGACCCACTGCACAATGCCTTTCTGACTCCCTGTTCTCTGCTCTATTAACCCCTGTACACTGCCCTGATGACTCACTTTCCACTACCTTACAAACTAATGGCCTCTGTGCACTGCCCTACAAATTAATGGCCTCTGTACACTGCCCTACAAACCGCTGAACCTGTCCTCTGCCCTGCTGATCCTCTGTACACTGCCCTACTGTCTCCTATACACTGTCTTGCTGACTTCACATCCTTTGTCCTCCTGACATTTTTTACTGCACCCCCACATCAAGTAGGCTAGATCCAGCCCTGCATAGCATACATGTAAACCAAATTGGCTCCCAGACAAACAGATCATTGAAAAAAGGAAGTGGAGTTGGCTATTGCAGGCTGAGCAGGGGCGGACTGACCATTTGGAAACTCGGGCACTGCCCGAGGGCCCAGGGTCAGTAGGGGGCCCCATGAGATGCCCCTGGTACCTTTTTCATAGGATTTTTTGAGTTTGGGCAAGGACACAGGGGCCCCATGATCCCCTATTGCCCAGGAGTCCCATGAGTTGTCAGTCCACCCCTGAGGCTGAGCAGGTAGTCTGTGTCCCCTGTATGTACTGATTCTATTCAAAGCTGCTGCAAATGTAATCAAGTTCCAAAGGACTCCAGCTCAGGGAATGGTTGGGATAAGAAGAGGAACAGCTGCATTTTGGAAAAACATTTCCAGACGTCAGCCACATGCATGGATGCCATCATGGTCAGGAAGCTACGACCACTGCTTGCATGCATACCTCTAGAGAAATATATGGATGATCAGTTTGTAGACTCTTTCTTAGATCTCCCTTTTGAGCAGAAGAAAGCAGATGACACCACAGTCAGCCACTGAGAAGAGTAGCTACACTAATAGTGTTATAGATAAGTTAGACATTGAGTGCAATCTCATGCAGCATGATTTAGATAAAATCCAAGGCTTCATTATTGAGATTGAGTCCTGTGTGTCTGCGGTAGAGGACACCCCAACTCAACATACAGCCTCACTAGCCAAGCTACAGAAGACAGTTCAGCTACTCTTGGACAGATCAGATAATAATGAAATTAGAATCTGACAAAAATGAACTTGGACTCCCGAAGGCTTCTGAAGGTTCTTCCCCTAAATGATATTCTGAAACTTTCTTTAAGAACGTTCTGGGCCTTGACTCCGTCTTGCCCCTTATGTGGATGAGAGAGCACAATGTGCATCCACAGGCTACTGGATCCTAGAAAACAGTCACTGGCCATTCCTTATGTGCTTTCTCAATTACTGGGACAGAGACATGATACTGCTGAAGGCAACAAAAAAGCAACAACTCACCTTCAATATTCCAGCATTCTGCTTTTCTCTGAATTCTAGTCTGAAGTTCAAAAACACTGCAGAACCTGGCATGTCCAGGAAAGGCTTAAAGTAAAGTACGCTATGTCAAAGTAAATTGCGGGTTCAGCAAGTTTTTAATTTACCAAAACCTGGCTATTAACATCGCAATAAGATTCATGCAACTTTATTCACTTGAGCATCTTCAGTTGTTAGAGATTCTCAGTTTTTTGGCTCTTGTCCTGAAGCCCATGGCACCTGCGCCCATCTATGACTTGTGTACTAGGACTGATTCGTGTCCAGCTTCCATTATGACGCTTGTCACAATTTTTCCTGGCTTGAATCCAATGTCAGAATGTTCCAGCAATGCATTACTGTCACCAGGGGCAGCTCCATCAACCTGAAGCATCCGCTGGAACAAAAGAGCACCCTAAATCTACTCTCACTTATTGAATTGGAATATAGAGACACAGAATATAGAGGACAATTGAGCTTCTCTAGGTATGACCAGTCTTGGAAAGCGCTTAGTTAAAAGATGGTTTAGCAGTTCTGATGTTTGGGGTTCCGCTGACCTGTAGGGACTTTGTTGGTTCTTTCTTGATTTGGGTTCGATCAGTACAGGACTTATACATGTATGCTGAATGTATTTCAGTCTCTCTCTATATCTTTTGCCACAGTTACACTTCTTGCATTGTCCTAAGAAACACAACTTGCCTTTAATCACTACCCCCTTGGCCATACCTACACTAAATTACCAAAAGTATTGGGCCAGCCCTCCAAATCATTGAACTCAGGTTTTCCAATCACCTCCATGGCCTCAGGTGTATAAAATCAAGCACCTAGGCATGCAGGTTGTGCCTACAAACATTTGTGAAAGAATGGGTCGCTCTCCGGAGCTCAGTGAATGTAAGCGTGGTACCATGATAGGTTGCCACCTTTGCAATAAGTCTGTCCATTAAATTTCCTTGCTACTAAATATTCCATGGTCAACTGTTAGTGGTATTATAGCAAAGTGGAAGCAACTGGGAACAACATAAACTCAGCCACTAAGTGGTAGGCCACGTAAAATGACAGAGCAGGGTCAGCGCATGCTGAAATGCACAGTGTACAGAATTTGCCAACTGTCTGCAGAGTCAATAGCTAAAGACCTCCAAAATTCATGTGGCCTTCAGATTAGCACAACGTCAGTGCATAGAGAGCTTCATGGAATGGGTTTCCACGGCATCTGCATCTGAGCCTTACATCACCGAGTGCAATGCAAAGCGTCGGATGCAGTGGTGTACCGCACTCTGCCACTGGACTGTAGAGCAGTGGAGACATGTTTTCTGGAGTGACCAATTACACTTCTCTGTCTGACAATCCGATGGACGTGTCTGGGTTTGGCTTGTTGCCAGGAGAACGGTACTTGCCTGACTGCATTGTGCCAAACGTAAAGTTTGGTTGGGTTGGGATTCTGGTGTGGGGTTGTTTTTCAGTGGATGGGCTTAGCCCCTTAGTTCCAGTGAAGGGAACTTTTAAGGTGTCAGCATACCAAGACATTTTGAACAATTTTATGCTCCCAACTCTGTTGGAACAGTTTGGGGATGGCCCCTTCCTGTTTCAATATGACTGCACATCAGTGCACAAAGCAAGGTCCATAAAGACATGGATGAGGGAGTTTGGGGTGAAGGAACTTGACTGGCCTGCACAGAGTCCTGACCTCAACCCGATAGAACACCTTTGGGATGAATTAGAGCAGAGAGTGCCAGCCAGGCCTTATCGTCTGACATCAGTGCCTGACCTCACAAATGCGGTTCTGGAAGAATGGTCAAACATTCCCATAGACACACTCCTAAACCTTGTGGGCAGCCTTCCCAGAAGAGTTGAAGCTGTTATAGCTGCAAAGGGTGGGCCAACTTAAAATTGAACCCTACGAACTAAGACTGCGATGCCATTAAAGTTCATGTGCATGTAAAGGCATGCATCTCAATACTTTTGGCAATATAATGTATATTGTTACCCAGGGATACATAAATAAAGCTGCTATCACAGATCATTAGGGGTATCGAATTGCAAGTTTAAAAATTTATGTTTGAATTCCTTAGATCTCATACGACCCACCTTCTGTTCATTTAGAAAATCACTTGGTGGGAAATAAAATACTTTCTCTCCGGAAGCAATGGATTAAAAAAGTGTTTCATGACACATATTTTGGATATGCAAGAAGGGTATCCATTTTCTAAACAAATCACTGCTGTGCAGTGTCATACAGGGGTAGTGAGTATCCTTGAAGAGAAATACATGGCTATTGCATTAGAAATAAGAGCACAGTCATATGCTTTTGTAAACAATTTTCATCATGCCCTCCTGTACACACTGTGTGAAAAACCAGCTCAATATCAACCATGTACATTATTTACAGTTGGAGATTTAACATTTTAGGTGTATCTCTAGATGCATCCAATTCCTTCTAATTCAACCGACCCTACAATCATAAATTAAAGACCTGGGCTGAGGCACTGGAGCTGATAGAACCTAGGAGGTGGAAAGCTTACTAATCCACCACCCAGAGATCAACTCCAGGATCAATATAGCATTCTGCAGTAGGGGTGATTTGAATTCAATCTGCAAAGCCATCCATATTCCTGCAGGTTTGTCAAATCATTTCTTGTTGTTGGAGACTTGCAGTAAGTGGGATCAGCAGGACTAAGAATTTATGGAATGAAAGATCACCCAAAACTGGAAAACAATCCATGGGCTCCTCACATATTGTTTGGGACCCTTTGAAAATGACCTTGTGGGATGACTATATTTCAGCAATCAAAACTCCCAGAGTAGAGTATAATGCAGCAGCTTCACATTTGGAGTCACTTCTTCCTTGCTTAAATAATGGGCAGCACAATAGCTAAGTGATTTGCACTTTCACCTAACAGCACTAGGGTTGTCTGTTTGAATCCCAGCCAAGACAGTACCAGCCTGGAGTTTGCTTGTGCTCTCTATGTCTGTGTGGGTTTCCTCCAACACTCCAAACACATGCTGGCAGGTTAATTGGTTTTTGTCTTAATTGGCCCTAGTATGTGTATGAATGTGAGTTATGAACTTTAGATTGTAAGTTCCTGGATGGCAGCGACTGATGTCAATGTACAATATATATGTAAAGTGTAAGTGATACATAATTTCCTGTAATAAATACTGTAATTGCAGACAATCCCACTGAGACATCTTACCTTGATCTCCTGCAAGCTAGGAGAAACTTAAAATTGCATTATACTTCTTCAGCATACAGGAGATCATTTTTAATTTAGATGAAACGTTTAAAAAGGAGGACAAAAATGGCAAACTGATGGCATTATTGGTTGCAGAGTTATGGCACCCCACTGCCATACCTTATATAGAAACATCGAAAGGGAATGTATATACAGATTCACAAGCTATATTCTCCAGGAATTCCAGACATTTTACTAAAATCCATATGTTCCTTTTTCACACTATAACTTGTCTGACCAGACACCGATCCCAATGAACCTCTCACTCCACATGCTGGCAAAAGAAGAAATTTTCCTCATTGAGGCAAAAAACTTCCATTTATGAAATAGAGACAGCTATTAAAATTGCAATAGCTGGACTTGACTACATTGAAGTTGAATTCCAGCTAATTACAGCAATTACAGTAAACAGTTATTTTTGCTTTTGGGATAAAGTTTTTACATGAAACAACTGAGCACTGTAAGCATCTATGTCAGTGTTAAATGGTTTGTCTTAACTTTCTAACTGCTACTTTGTCTGGACAGCTTGGTCTGTTAAAGTAAGTTAAAAATTAACAGACTTATTGGCTGGGTCACCAGATAAAAGTAAAGGAAGATAGCCTGAATAAAAGAAAATGAATGCAGTCACCACATCTAAGAATTGCTGAGCTGCAATTAAATACATTTTTGTGTTTGTGTTTAATACCACTTTGAAGCAAGGAAAAACATGCTTCTTTCAGGCAAATAAATCTGCTAAAAATGAAAATTCTCCTCCTATTACTGTACATATTAAAACACTCACTCTCTTGGATCCCTCCTAAATACTTCAAACAGTTAAACATTTAATCATTCTTATTGGGACCAGCCTGTCCTAGATTCCAATTTAAAGCACTACCACGTTCATGACTGTAGGGAGGCCTAGTATGTCCTGACCTGATAAATGTTTTATTGCAGGGCTGTTAGCCCATGCTCACAACTGGCTGATATCTGAAAAAAATTAGCACATATATGGCTTTAAGACACCTGCTTTGCAGGGTAGTGAGATCCCAATACCAACTTACCCTGACAATGAAAGCCACAGTTAGGGGTTGCAAGCTTGACATCGCACCGTTACCAGTCACACTGAGCAATGGTCCCCTAAAACAAGGCTAAACCTTTCCCTATTACAGTTCCAGAAAATTCCGGATCCTGCCTTGTGGGAACCCAAGTGCATTAAATGTGTCAGGCACATACGAGAGGGTACCTCTCTCACTTCCTCTGATAAGCTGAAACTAATTCTTACCTTTTTAAAATACTTAAAACTCCAAGAAGCCTATCAGGCATAATTTGGCTCCACACCTTTCGATCTTGCACTCACCCCCATCAAATCCACCCTGAGAGGTGAATTACTAAACAAGTCACTTTCTAACATCCTCAAATGCTTGCATCCTACAATCTATATGGACTTGACTTGGCTTGATGACTGCAAAGATATGTGGGAGTACACATTTATATTTTATCTCCACCAGAGGCAGACTCATACAATTCAAGATATATCACCGAGTCTACGCAATCCGGTTTGGACTTATAAACGTCTACCACAATGCTGGAAATGCTCTCAGGAACCCACAGACTTTCTACACATAATTTGAAAATGTCCTAAGATTCAAATATTCTAGTCTGAAATTGAGGACTTGCAGTTGTAAACAATGACCCCACTACAGTGGAAAATTTTTTTCATTCAACCAGTGGATTAAACTTAATAAAATGACCTGATTCCCCCATCAGCACATTCGAGGTGAATGGGGGAATCACTCTCGCATAGCTTTATATACTCTCCACCATAAAAATATACAGATCAATGCTGCCAGCTATTGCCACCAGCAGGGATGGTGCTGAAATTTACCAACAGGCTGGTTGTACGGAAGTCGATTGGCAGATCAACTTCTGTGTAACCAGTCTGTAATACAAGGATGGAAATTTGGCCCCTACTGAACCAGCAGAATTTTGATCCATGTATTGCTTGCTTAAAGCAGCTCACTGAACTCTAGCCAGTAGCTCAAATAAATTTCACCAAATTCATTCTGCTTATCTTTAATTCAGACATTTTCCAAAATCCCAGTTGTGAGCAAAGTATTGTTAATAGTTTCTAGGAATATCCTAGTGATGCCTGGGTGCCTTTTTCTGAGGTGCTGAATATTTGCACTCAGTTGTTTATGCTGTAATTGCTCTATACTGTGTTTCCAGCACGGAAACTGAGCTGCCACCCGACAGCTTGTCTAATGAATGAGAGTAGGAAGGGCCAGCTACTGATCATATGATTGCTGTTATAGCCTGTGATGGACCATCACGGTGATCACTCTGTATAACCTGTGACTGTTCTCTCTTAAAATAAATAATTAAAGCTAGGTAGATCAGAACCTAATTTAGGTTAGTGTCAGCATCAGTATCAGGGTCAAAGACCAGGGTCATTGTGTTTTAGGTGAGATTCAAAAAATGATTTATTGTCAGAGGCAGTATAGTTTGTGGAATCAATAGCGACTATGCCACTCCAAACTTGCTTCTTTCCCTCCAACTCCCATCAGGAGCATGCTCAGAAGCGCTTTCCCCCTCAGCTGTTCTGCTTGCGAAATAAAAGTAAATGGGATGCATGCTGATGCCATGATGAATGTTTTCCTTTAACCACTTGCCCTCCTGAGAATTTATCCCCCCTTCCTGACCAGGCCATTTTTTTGTGTTACGGCGCTGGGTTACTTTAACTAACAACGCTGCATCCAAATTAAATTTACGTCCTTATTTTACCACGAATTGAGCTTTCCTTCAGTGGTATTTGATCGCCTGTGCGTTTTTATTTTTTGTGCAATAAAAAAAAAGACTGACAATTTTGAGAAAAAAACAATACTTTGGACTTTTTGCGATTAACCCCTTCCTGACCAGTGTCATTTTTAGCACTGATCACTGTATTGGTGTCACTGGGGTGTCAGTGACTCCAAGTTAGTTCCCCCCCAGTGTCAGAATGTCCACCGCAGTCCCGCTAAAAGTTGCTGATCACTGCCATTACTAGTAGAAAAAAAAAAAAATCCCAGTATCTATACAGCCATTTGTAAACGCTATAACTTTCACGTAAGCCAATTAATTTACACGTATTGGGATTTTTTTTTAGCAAAGACATGTGGCAGAATACATTTTGGCCTAAACTTATGATGAAATTAGATTTTTTAAAATTTTG